TCGATTGGACACGCTTATCGGCGGAAAACCGCATTGAAATTACGCCAGGACCTGCCCAAGTTCCATAATTGCGGTAATGCCGATAATCTGTTCTTGCCATAGGGACCGCACGATGCCTATGCCTATGCCGATGCCGATGCCTCTGAAGTCGTATACCTTCGGTAGCTGAGGGATGCGCCCATTGCTTACGCGCGCTTAATCCCATGGACCGCCTACTCATAACATCGAGTCAGCATCTAATTGTTTGAGGAAAGGAAAGGAATGGAAAGGAAAGGAAAGGAAAGGAAAGGAAAGGATTGATGAGCCGCGAGCGTTGGCCATCGATAATTGGATTAAATACGCGTCCAGCGAACAATCTCTGGTGATCCTAGCGTTAGTCCAGCGCTGATCTCGGATTTCCACTGGCTTTGAGGCGCACAAATTCCAAGTTAAGTTTCGGATTTGCTGCGCTAAACACACGCTCGAAGCTGAAGCCTGGCAGCAGTAGCTGCCATTGCTCCGCACTGCCAGATCTGTTTGATCTTGAACTAAGCGCTCAATTGGCTGCACAGCAAATCCAAAATATTTATTTGCATTTAATTAAGTCGCAAGCTTAGCGACGGCAATCGGAAGTTCGACGGGTCACGCGGCTCTCAAATCCGCGCCATTAAAATTCAATTAAATTGCTACTTCCGCCAAAAGCAAACAATGAACGTAAAAAAAAAATAGAAATGAAATATGGGAACCCTTTTTGGAAGAGAATTTTAATTAAATCTCTGCCACGCCGTGTGGCAGCATCACCAAAAATGCTCAATTATTAAAACAAATAATGCCAATTAGTTGTGTCAACAGTGAGAGCCGCAACCCTGACAATCGCAGCCATTGCTCCCAATTATGATGCGCTAAAGAGCCGCCCAGACGGACACCACCAGCAGCAGCAATAGCAGCAGCAGCAGCAGCAGAAGCAATAGCAACAACAAAGGCTGCTGCTTTAATTGACACTCAGATGCCGCCGCCATCATCGCCATTAACGGCCCCTAGACTTGCCCCCGCTGCTCTCGCCTTGGCCCAGCCTCCGGTCCGGGCGGGCAGAAGAGCACAGAAATCAGAGTTGAGGCAGTCGCTGGCTCCTCATTTGTGCGTCTAATGAAAACGCTAACGAGACACACATACATATACATAAATACATACTCACACACACACACACTCACGCATATATACATAGAGTGGGGTAGTGCACACATTAGCACAAAACTCTTAGGCAACGCAATCAATTCGCTTCTGATTTCAAATTTATGTACCTCATCCGCAAAGGAAGCCGAGCAGGGGGATGCTAAAGCTGTGGCTCTAACTGTAACTAGACAGTGACAGCGATATCCAACCAGATACCACCACTCACTCACACTCACACACACACAGACACAGAGGCATACATAAGGGGGTCTCCATTTTCTCTCACTCTCTGGCAAAGCCGTGCAAAGTACTCCTGATAATGAGCTCCATCTCGTTGGCAATTATTAAATGAATTGGATTTATATGTTGCCAGCAGCCGCAACAGCAACAACACGAGCAACAACAATAACGGCAGCAACAACAACTGTAATTCCCACTTGCTCGCTTTGCTACATAGCCGCCCCTTTAGATAGCTACGCTCTCTGTCACTCTCGCTTGCTCGCTCGCACTCACTCGCGCGCTCATGCAAGCCGTCAGCCAATGGGAAACGTTTATTGGTTGCTTGTTATCTGCGCTGCGAGTGTGGAACGTGGAAGCCTCGGCCTGTGGAACGTATTCAGCATATAGTGCAGTGCTAGGCTAGGGAGAACGTTTTATATACAAATTTACGAACATTTGCACTCATTTATTTTAATATATAAATACTGTTACTTTGACTTTCATTATGTATTCAAATTGTCTACCTAAATTTGTTAATTTTGAAACAAATTACCTTTAATTACTTGCAAAATAGACGGGATTTGTGTGTGTGTGAGTGTGCATGTTCTGTATTGTGTGAATTTATAATCGAAGCGCTGCAGGCGATGGGCGTGCCAGCAACGATATCAAATAATCACATGCAAACAATAAACAAAGCTAATCATTGCATTTGGCCGCTGCCTTGGTCATATTTCAATTACAGTAAAAAGCCAAGGAACACGCCTCTGCCCATTGGCAGTGCGAGCAACAGCAACAACAACAACAACATCGTTGACCTTTGCTAAAACTGCAATGGCGTCGAAAATGCAGAAGAAGCAGAGGAAGAAGAAGAAGCAGAAGAAGATGGAGCCTGCAACTCATTGTCTGACTAATTAAATGATTTATCCCGAAACGTGAGGCAGCCAACACTTTGCAGCAGACAACAGCAACAGCAGCAACAGCAACAACAACAACAACAATCCGAATCCAGCTGCAACAAAAACCAATTACAATTACCGCACCCAAAGGTGCCACAAAAACATATACTCATACACACGCACACACACACTCACAGAGGGAGAGTGCTGCACAAATGCAGTTACTGCTAGGAGCCAGACAGAGGAACAGAGAACAAGAACCAGATCAGGAGAACGAGAGATGCGACGACAGCAGCAGCAGCAGCAGCAGGAGTCGCCGCCTGAGCCAGGAAACTTTATCTAGATGCATACAAATCCAACACAAAGCGCACGTCAATTTATTTGCCAGCCTCGGACGGCTGTCGAGCGTCCGAATTGGGCAGAGGCGGCGGACGAGGCTGGGCTGGGCGGTGGGCGGGCTGGAGTGGTTGGACTCGGCTCATATATAGATTTACCTATGGCAATGCCAATGATGACGATGTCGAAGTTGGCGCTGCATGTTTTATGCCTCTGCTGCAGCTTTAACGAGGTGTTTATTTTCACAACTCTCAGGGCCAAGGCATCTGTGTGCATATGTGTGTGTGAGTGTGTGTGAGTGCGAGAGCAAATCCCTGTGTATGTGTATGAGTGTATGTGTGTATGCGATTGCATTTACTCTTTATTGAAGGTGCAGAAAACGAGGGCCCGCCCATTTTCATGCTGGACTCTTGGGCCGCCAACATGATGAAGATTCGATGCCCGATGACGATGCAGTTCGTGCAATACTTTGTGCAGCCAGGGGCAGGGAGTGGGGCCAGCTGAGGGGCACCACTTTGACGGCAGGGCGTCTATGGAAATAAGCAATGATGCTGACGCCGTCGCAGAAAGGTGACTACAGTGGTTCGCAAAAAAAAAAAAAACTATGTGGCTAAAAAAAAGTCCATGTAAATTAAATATACAAATTAAACTGGAAAAAAAAAATTGCAGTTACAGTTAAAAAAAGTGCGCAGTTAGAGAGTGGATACAAATGTAAAAAAAAAAAAATTTTAAAATTAAATTATTTGATATATTATTTTAATGTTTTTCTCTGCAGAAAAAAAAAAGAATTTAATTACATAAAATGGTTAAATAAATTAAATAATTTCTTTTACTAGAA